ACAATTAACACTGTGCTCTAAGAAATGTTAATAACTGAAAGCAGGATTGTCACAGCGGCTTTGCAGTGACTTAAAAGTTTCGTGGTTACCTGAGTTTTCTGCCCGCTCAGAGTACCCTGATCACAGCAGGCAGGGTAAGAGGTGGTTACTGCTAAGCCGCTCTCCTCCGCTAGACAGGAAACATTCTCCGTTCTCCCAGCAACCCACCCCCTGGCTTTCTAATAGTTCAGCCCCTCAACTACTACCTGTGGAAAAAGGAAATCCAATGGAAGTAAAGATGATGTTAAAGGGCACCTGTTAAGCTTGCGTAGAGAGGCAGGCGGAAGTACTGAGCCAGCCCAATTTAATTCCACCTTGATGAGCCCCAAGGCTCCCATTTAAATGAACACAAGTAGAAATGCTCTCACTTGTGCTGCCTCTGAAGCAGAACCTTCAAGCACCACCTTCCTAATCTACCAGTTCCTAAATTAATTACAGTTCATTTGAACGATACAGTTGCTTCTGCTCATTTAACTCAAATTCTAATGACTAAAAGAAGCGAATGAATGGTGGAAGTAATTACACATTCACATCTTTGACTAGGCTGCCCAGTCAGACAACCAAAACAACGTGAGTGGAATAAGCAGCAGTGAGGTAGCTCTTGCAGGGTAAACAAGAATCTAACAAGATTCTACAATCAATCAGTGTCAGAAAACCAAATAAATCTTAGGTGCACACTTAAATACCGACAGGAGCCTAAAATAAAAGCAGCTCTCACCAAAAACTGAAGGATGACCAATAGTGCCATAACTACAGGAAGTCTGTCAGATTTCTTAAGCTTGTCATTCCCCCCCCCCTTTTATTGAACTCCTTCCCTGAACCACCAAAAACTGGTGGCAAAGTGGGCCCTGAGCACACACAAAATAGAGACTGGCTTAAAGTGAAAACCAAATGAAACACACAGCAAATGAAAGGCAGCAGTGGCTCAGCCTTTCCAAGGTATTTCCATGTGGCCTTTGCATTAAGGGTTTTCTTTCGCTATAAATAACGACTTTATCCGCAGAACACAAGGGTACCACGGCAGCATACTTCACACTGGGGTCTGTGGATACAGAGGGTAGACCCCTTTAAGGAACTTCCCTCTTGCTAATGTCTTAATTGCGCATTCTACATCAATTTATGAGCAACCAACTTCTGCCATCCAAACAGGTGCCATTCTTACCAGGGTCAAGGATCGCGAGTGCCAGAAACAAATGCTTTAAGAACAGAGGCAATACGACCAATAAATAAAGTTTGTGGCAGACAGAAGGCCATCACCAGGAAAAACAGATTTTGAAGAACTTCACTTTCAATCAGGAAAAGCAGTGAAAAAAATGAATCGACAATACACAGGTATTTTCAGCAGTCTTTATATGAGAGGAAACTTCGTTTCAGCAAAAAAAAAATCCATTAGATCACTTACATGTAGTTTTGTACTGGTTTCACAGTATTATTTATATATAACTTGTAAATGGATTTGCTTTTAAGATTGTATGAACAAGCATAAGAATTATAGTTTCATGGGTGTATATATTTATTTCACTGTAATAAATATACAAAATTATAGTACAGTCCGCTGACATGTTTTTTTCCTTCAAAAGAAGCCCAGACATACGAGTTTGAGAAACATTAGGCTAAAGGTAGAGGAAGCAGCTGGTCGATTCCACCTTAAGGCAACGAGGGGAAGTAGAGTGATTAGAAAGGAAGGATCCTGAGAAGCTGCAGGGCAGGTGGAAGGAAAGAAGGTTAATATGCTCTCTCCACCCAGTCAAATCAGTCAATTCCATTCCAGGAGTACAATTCTAATTTAGTCTCCGCCCCCTCCTTCTTTTCTTCAGGGGAGGGAGGGTCTGTCTATTCTTGCAAAGACAAAGATCTACTTAAAGATGGTTCTTTGAATTCAAAAGCATAAAAAAGATTATGTGAGAAAGCCATTTTGAAATGTTTCTTTGGATATGATCTGTAAAGGAGAAAATTAATCAGCAAAACTAGCCTGTAATTTCACCAAATTTTAAGACTGGCACCTGTTAAAGGAACAAAGTTCATTGAGTACTGTTGGATAAAAAGGGTGGAGATTTTGAGTCACACAGCATGAACTAAAACCCGATTCACCAGTATCAAACATCCTCAAACATCAGTCACCAAATGTCAATATGGCACGTAACAAAGCGAACAAGTAATGCTAGTGATAAGATTTTTATAGATGTTCCCTCATTTTATAGGAAAGGTAAGGCCCAGAGACTAAGTCACTTGCCAGTTATCACACAGCACTTGACAGCACCAGAACTTAAACTCAGGTCCTCATTAACTCACTACGTTAACTCACTCAGTTAACTGTCATCCATTTTCTCAGAGTGGATGTGTATATGAAATGCAATAATACATCTTAAAAATACATTAAGTATCTTACATATATTATTTAAAATTCAAATCATCTAGTCAAATTCTTCACCTATATGGATCCTGACAATTCTCTACTAAAGAAATGCACGTCCTGAACCAAAGATTAAGGAGCACGTGTGACTCCTTCTGGAACAGTAAAGCATGTATTATCCAAGACAGCATGCCGAGACTCTAACCAGAAAAGTTATCAACTAGGTTGGAAATACTGTAAGGTGCTTAGAAATGCATCAGTGATTGTCAGCTCAGGAAAGTCAGATTAAGAAAGCATTCATTATAAAGGAAAATGACAGCAAAGTGCTAAAAATAAGACTGAAAGGGCAATGGATACACTGAAGAATGGAGAGTCCTAGTTTAGAGTTTTGGAAAGTGAAGGCTTCTTCGGGCAGAAAGGAAAACCAGTCAGAAGGGTCAGGACTGGGGGAGGGAGGGCTCCTTGGTGGGTGGAGGATGGAAGGACGCCAGCTTCAAGTCCCTGAGGAGCAGCTTCAGAGAGCAGGCAGTTAGCAGCTGCCAGCTAGCCTCAGTGCATCCTCACCAAGGGACAGGGCATCCTCCCCAAGGGACAGAAGGTGGCTTGGTGGGAAAAAGCAGGGCCATCATGTGACTTCAAGGGTTCCTCTGTTCCAAAACTCTCCCATTTGGAAGCTAATGCTGGGAATTCTTTTAACAAGGAATTTTCTTGTTTTTCCCACCGTGAGAGAAGTAATAATCAAATGTTAGTTAGCACAATACACACTCTCATCAAAAACCTAAGAATCCTAGAAAGGCAGGTTGTGTATTTAAGCGTACAAGGCCAGGTTTATGGGGCACAGTCTCCATGTTCAAGGAATTTACACTGTCATGGTTTCTTCACTTATAAATGCAAGAGCAACTCTATAAAGATGGGAATCACTTGCTTTTTTGCAAGGCTAGATGTCAATGATCATAATAAAGTTTATCATATTACTAGTAAAATTATGTGCATTTCGGAGCTTTTACCACAGCTATGTTAAGTGTGTTCACCTTCTGAAATACTAGGCCTGCTCTCCAGCAGAGGGAGGAGAAAATGTCATTTGTAGACCATATGGCAGCTCCAGCAAGAGTCAGCCTGGCATTCAGCGCTCTTAGATGGGGAAACCTTTTGGAGAGGCATCATGCTCTCTAAGATGCAAAGAGGCTGTCTGGAGACCGCAAGTGGGATTTGCAAACCAGAAGGAAGGAGTGTTCACATTTGTGCACACAAAGGATGGAAAAAACTGCAGATAAACTAGTAATGTTTTCACAAATCAGGAAATACTATTATTATCAGCAGTGGCCTCAAAGTCAGAAATGAAGTGAATGTAGACATAAAACGTTTTCTTTACCCAGGTTAAGTAATAAAAGTGATAAGTAAATGTTTTAGCAATTGAGACGGTTCAAATAAAAAGGATCTGGGAGCACACCAATTTGAAGACATTTTGCTAAGCTCCATCCTTACCATAATACATGCTTCAAAGACAGACCAGATCCTAATGTCTTAGTTTCAGACACATGCACATCTCCATCACGTTGTTACTGACTCTGCACGTGACATATTCAATGATGCTTCCCCTACAGCTGTCCTGGGGAAAGCCAGGTCACCCAAAGGCCTCTCCACCTTAAGCCCTCGCTCACTTACCTATCAGAGGTCAGAGTTTCCAGGGCTTCATTTCAGCGGCTAAAGCTTTCAGAAGCCTCTATTAAAGTGCAAATAGGTCCTGGGGTAGGTAACAAATTAAGACTTATTTAGTGAGTCAATCCTGTAAGAGAAACTCCAGAGTTTCTTTTACTAAGACCCTTAGGTCTTAAGTCACTGAAAGTTACGATCTGGAGGATGCAGGAGGGAATCAGAAGGCATGTGGGAAAAGGACGTGGGAGAAGCCCCTAGAGGCGGTCTTTACTCTGCAGTCCATCATCAGTAACGATTGGTCTTTAGTCAATGACTTTTGATGAACACCATGGTTACAATACAAACCAAAAATAAGACGCACAATCTTGTACAGAGATAAAATCCACGGGTGCCATGCTGTCTTCAGTTATCTTATTAAATCGCAAAACCACAAACCTATCTACATATATAGATTTTTAAAGGCCCATTCAATGATTGATCGTGCCCAAGGAAAAGCCACTGATGTACCTAAGAAAAGAATCACTTTCTCTGAATACCACTAAATAAACTAGCTTCATTTTATCCTTAAGACAGACTCTTGAATCCCTCCTTAGAGACTTCATTTTTAAAGTGTCCAAACTAGGCACAATAAAGTTATAAAAAAGACCAATAGTCCCCCACATTTTTCCAGGAGCGTAATACAAACAGATGACTTTGAACAACATTCCTCGGGATACGCTCCAGTGTCCAGTAGAGAACTTTCCCTTCTCTGCAGACTTGGAAGTAAATAAGTCAAGAACACCTACGAACAAACTTTGTTGGCCACCAGCAGGGGAGCTCTTCAGCTTTTGTCCCCAAACCCATTCAAACAAAAGAAGCTTGGCTTCCTCCAACCCACCCCTCAGACCCGCACCCCGCGGAGCCTCTCCAGATCCCCGCACCCTCTCCGCGCTTCCCCGCCAGCTCTACTTACTCCTCAGCGCCCCGATGAGCAGAGAGCCGTCCTTAATGAGCTCTTTGATGAACTTGTTGGTTCGCTCCAGCTCAATCTCATGACACTGCAGGCGCTCCCTAAAATCCGGGCTGTCCAAGTAGGAGTCGCTGAACTCCAGAGTCGGCAGCCCCATGGCACAGGCACTGCCAGCGGCCGCAGGGGGCACGTCCGGGCCGGCGGTCGACGCGGGGACAGCCGGCGACCGCGGCCGACGCCGGGGACGCGCGATCGCGGGGAGCGAGCTGGGACGCGA